TTTGAAAATATTGAAAGGGAGTTTTGTTATTTTGATTCAAAAATATGTATTTTGGGTTTCAAAATAATGATATTGTTGTTGGTTATTGATATATACGACATTGGTCAATATTGGGAAATGGGGTAGAAAATCCTAATTTGTTGTATAAATTAATTGGTATAATTAATTTGGGAAAATTGTAGACTTATGGAATTGAGTGGGAAATAATGAAATTGGTTCATTATATGGTAGAATAGTGGAGTTAGATTTATTAATCGCTCACTTTTGAAAACATTGATATTTTATCTGTTGGAGCTTTTATTATCTGTTAGAAATAATTGCTTGGGCTACCGGTGGAGGGTAGTTGTGATTGTTGTAGACAATGCATGATGATTAGGCAAACTAAAACTAATCAATTGGATATGTCATAGAGTATGACGGTTGATAGAATACATTAACGTTATGTATTGATTGATTGTGTATATGACCTTTGTGTATATACGTTGTGTGTGTGTGGGAGGAGATAGGGGATGTACTCCACGATTTAGGGGAAGATAAGGGATGGACCTCTGAACCGGATGTTATTTGGGAGGAGATAGGGGATGGACTCCACTGATACAGCTCATATGCTTGTTAGATAATGTGTTGATATAGCTCATATGCTTATCTTTGGAAGTGTTGATACAGCTCATATGCTTATCATTGGAAGTGTTGATATAGCTAATATGCATATCTGTTGAAATGTGGATACAACTTGTATGCTTATCTGTTGAGATGTTGATAAAACTAATATGTTTATCTATTGTAAAATGGAAAATGTTTAATATGAGTCACTGTCTCATATAAGTGGTTGGCCAAGTTCTGAGCCGTTGATGTAGATTGTGAAATTGATAAGAAATGGAAATTGAAATGAAACATGAACATAGTGGTCATGAAATGGAAACAGGTTATGAATTGATTTGTGGAAATTGAACATTTATCAATTGCTAATGTCTTAGTTAATGCTCATACTGTGTTTAGCATATTTTTACTGGGCGTTGGCTCACCTTATATGGGACATTATTTTCAGGTACAGGTAGTATGCCACCTTCAAGGACATAGCTTGGATGATGATGAGAGTTGAAGACTCTTTTTTTGTTTATTTTGTTTGTATTACATGTATATCAAGCCAAGGGCTATTTTTGTATAGAGTTAGTACTCTTCTTTTGTGTAACCACGTGTTGACTTGGAAAGCTGTAAGCCCATAGGGCATTTGCTTTTGTTGTTAACATGTAATACAGTTGTAAGAATTACTCTGATGAATAGAAATGGTTGGTTTCTTTTATAACAATGCATGTCTAAAGTGATGAGTTTTATGTATTATTTTGAGCGCGTTACAACATATGAAGCCAACAATTCTATCATAGATAATCAACAACGTAGGGGACCGGGAATCGAGGCACGTTTCGTCACTTGGAGTACGAAACGTCCCTCGTTTCCCGTGCTTGGACTAAACCCTATTCCAAGCACCATGCAAATGGAATGGCATGCACAATGCGACTAACATGCAACCTAGCATACACAATGCTCCATACTAAAATGGCATACACAATGCGCGTGATGTAACATGGCATACACAATGCTCTAAAATGCAACCTAGCATACGCAATGCTATGGATTGAAATGGCATACACAATGCACGATGGACTTACACCAACATGAGTGGACCTCAGCTACACTCACATCAGGGGCCATTAGATGAAAATGAGACAACCGAAATACGTGCACACATGCATGCAAACCGATGACCAAACCTAAGGCATAAAATACCACTCTACCAAGGCATGGCAAGGGATGAAAGATGGCCTATGAACATGTAATTTCCAGCACTAAAACATGATGCTAAATAGTCCCGAAACATAGAAATATGGCACCCAATGCATGGAATAAGCCCCGAAACTCAAAACTAGGCACATATATTGAATTGTAACTATGCAAAGCAAGCATTATTTGGCCATGAAGTATAAAGACAGAGCCAAGGCAGTCCCAAAATATGCATATTTGTAGTTTAAAGTATGGCCAAAAGATTCTAACATGATGGACTAACATAGCATGCAACATTGGCTAGCAAGCATAGTTTACATGGCATGTATATGAAGAAAATGAGAACTTATCAAACCAACCAAAAACAGTGAATAAAATATGCCAAAATATGCCCAAAAAATCACTGAAATGCAGCCAATGCATGCAAAAATGAGGGGCTTCTTTGGAGGGCCTTGCAAGGGGTTGTTAAGCACACACAAGATAGACACTTAGCATAGAAAAACCAACTCTGGAAATCAAATATGACAGCCCTAAAACTCACCAAATTGGCTCTAAAATGGGTCTAGGAAATATGCAAAGAAAGGCTCCTTTGAAAGGCCTTAGATGGGATTGCTCTACACATGCATTGTAGGTATAAAATATGTCCAAAAGGGCCTTGGACAGAGCCAAGGCAGATCCCAAACTCACAGAATGAGGCCTGAAACAAGACTTCAATGCATGAAAAATAGGGTCTCTTTGGAAGGCCCAAAAGACCACCAAACAAGACAAGGAGAGAAGGGGTCACCCCCCTCTAATTTTGGCCCTCAAAAATGCATCTAAGCCATTGAAAATCCACTGGATTTCAGTGGCTAAGAGGGCAAACCATGGCCAATGCAAGTGCTCTAATGCATAACCTTAATCATGAAGGGATGAAGCATGCATAGGGGGAAGATGACCCCAAACGGAAATGGGACCTTAACAAAACTTGAAAAGGATGTCAAAACAAGACTTTTTTCAGTTTATAGCAATCTCGAAAATGCTCACAAGTAAGGCTAAAATAGGATGCAAAAATAGCCCTAAAAAGAGAGATAGAGGATAAGGGGAAGTAAATGACCTCAAAAAGCAAAGTTCCCTTAAACAAAGTTGAAGAGGGGGTCAAAATAAGGCACTTTACAGTTTGGGTCGAAGCCCAAAAATGCTTGCAAATAAGGCTAACCAACGGAGCAAAAAAATGTAAGTTTAAGGGAAATAGGCACTTACCCTTGAAGAGCAGCAAAGCCGGAGCTTTTGGACCAAGTTGGAGAACCTTCAACCTTGCAAATCAGTCCTAAAGTGCTGGAATGGATGATGGAGGTGTGGTGCTAGGGGTTGTAGTGCAAAAAGGCTAAGAAAACTAGGGTTTTGGATCTTGGAATAGTGACTATGGAGGATGGAGGATATATGCCTTCACCAAAATTGCTCAACCCTCAGATATGAAGCCAAGCCTCTCCTTTATAGAGGAGAGGCTTCAAAATATCCCAAAGGGACCTCAAGTATCCTCCATACACGTGTATGGAGGATGCACCAAATGACCTCCAACTGGCACAGCTAGATTACACTCAGAGAGAGCAAAAGCAAGAAGTAGGCCAGCCAGTTCAAGTGGACGGCCGGCCACTCCCCCTGGTCGGCCGACCAGGGGTCAAAAAGGTCAACAATTTCTGGCCAGCCACCCCAAAAAGGTGGCCTCCCAAATGAGTGCAACACAGCTGTGTAGTGAAAAACTAGAAAAAGTGACCCAAGAGAGAGAAAAGCTAGCTTTTAAGCAAGGTTCAAAAGGGTCAAGATTAATTTCTGGCCGGCCTACCCATATTGGTGGCCTCCCAAATGAGCACAACACAATGGCAGTATGAAAAGCCAGAAAATGTGGCTCAAAAGTGAGAAAAACCAGCTTTCGGTCAGAAAAATCGGCTTTTGGAGAGAAAAAATGAGGAAACTGGTTTTTCAAGGAAAAAGGTGGCCTCCCACCATCCTACCACCTTCCTAACAATGAAAATAGGGTCCCTACCAAAAATGGACCAAAACGGATGCAAAACGAAGATTCAGGGGCCAAAACGCGCGGTTCGGGGCCTCGAAAACAGGCTGTTAGGCACCGGAAGTGGCGTATGACCACGAATGTGGTCTCCAGGGCCACACTATCCCTCTAAAGGGAGGAAATAAGATGTGTGCCTAAAACCGGAGCAATCGGAGGTAGTTAAGCGGTCCCGAACCGAGGCACACGGCCGACAGCTCCGAAAACCAGAAATCGGGCTCCAAATGGGAAAAATGGCCTACGATCACGAAACGTAGCCTATGGACACTGAGAGATGATCTACGAGACCTCTCCCTCCCTTCGGGAAGAGAAAACAGAGAAAACAGGACTTGATTCGCAAACCGAGACAAAAGCACAAAAGAGCTCCAAAGTCCAAAGGCAAGGCTCGCAGCCGAGACTCCGCAACCTCAGAACGAGCACAATATGCAATATCACCGAGCGCTCAACCGGTGACGTCTGAGTCTTAAGGTCGGTCAAAAATGGAGTGTCTACACTAATCTAATCATAGGCTTTATAAAAGGTCTTCATAAAATAAATACAAAGACACAAAGATGGTTAAAGGAAAGACTACAATTATTTAACCTATCTACACTAACAATGGTAATTGATTCATCTCTCAATGCCATGTTTCATACTATGCCATCACTTATTCAATTATACAATCAATTTTTTATGAATTTTATTACAATATAAAGTTTATTAAAGGATTGTTTGGAGTGTCCTAAATAATTGCACTTTTTGTCTTTTTTGACTAAAAAATTGAGGAAAAAAATATGGATGTTTGGGTTAACTTTTTGACGTTTTATGAAAAAATGTGTATTAAAAAATTGTATAGATTAGTGTGTAGAAAAAAATTAGAATTGAGAGTTGTGCAGCCGTAATTTTTGACTTTTGGTGAATAGTGATAACTTTTAACTTTTTGAATAACATTTTAGTTTTTTAAACAACTTGCCATCTAAAAAGTATAAAGTTGTCCAAGATTATTTTGTGTGAAGAGGAGTGAGATAATTTATCCACAGTATAAAGTTTACTAAAAAGTACTTTTTGCTCAAAATAATTATTCCTTAAATAAGTTGTCATAGATTCTTTTCCCACCTTATATCGAACCAAACAAAGCCTAAGAGATACGGTGGATTAATTTAATTGAACTAATTCCATATATATACATAAACTCTGTACACTAATCTAAGCAATTCTATAAGCAAGAAAAAAACATAAAAACCTCTACCAAATCTCTCATCATTGGTCGATTTACCATCCAAGAAAACCATGTTCCGCCTATTTTTGTTGTTAATATTGATTTGTAAGGTGTATAGTAATCCTCCAGATGATCCCATCAAGTGTTCATCATCACCAACAAAGAAGTGCACCATCACAAACTCCTACGGTGCCTTCCCTGACCGAACCCTGTGTCGTGCATCCGACGTTGCCTACCCGACAACAGAACAAGACCTCATCTCACTCGTTGCATTGGCAACCAAAAACAAGAGAAATATCAAAGTATCCACTCGCTTCTCTCACAGTTTGCCAAAGTTGGTCTGTCCTGACGGGGAAGATGGGCTTGTCATCAGTACCAAATTTCTCAACAGGACTTTGGAGACTGACCATCTGAGCATGACCATGAGTTTTGAGACCGGTGTGACATTGAGAGACTTGATTAGTGAGGCAGCCAAGGCTGGTTTGGCACTGCCTTATGCGCCGTATTGGTGGGGTGTGACTGTGGGTGGCATGATTGGAACAGGAGCTCATGGAAGCAGCCTCTGGGGTGTTGGGAGTGCTGTTCATGACTATGTTGTTGGGCTCCGAATCGTCACTCCGGCTGGACCTGAAGATGGCTATGCAAAGGTCTGGACCCTCAGCAATGGTGACCCTGACTTGAATGCAGCTAGAGTCTCTCTTGGAGTCCTTGGAGTTATTTCACAGGTACTATTTGATCAGGTTCAAACCATTTTCTCTATTCAATATTTTTGTTTCTTCTTATTATTAATATATATATATATATTGTTAATTTGGTTTTCATCTTATTAATCAAAAACTGTAATTACTAATTAGAGGAAGCTCAAAGACACCAAGGCAAAGAACACTTTTCTCAGCCCGCAGTCGAAGGCACTTCTGGTTTTCCCACTATTCTCTTTCATTCCTAAATCTCCCTTTTCCCACTTTCCCTCCATTCCCTCTCATTTGTAATCTGATCTCACATGTAAAAAGACAAACAAATAGGGAAATAAAATTATGAAACCAACTTAATAATATATATATATATATATATATATCAAAATAAAACTTTCCTTTAGGTGGGATCTGTCTCAATAATATAAAATGATCTTTTTTAATGTGTAAACCCATCTCACAATATAAACAAATTGAAGAACAAGAATGCATAAAAGCAGACATGTTGCCGAATGACAAAGAGAACAGGATGACAAAGCTAGAATTTAGAATTATCTAGAAATAAAATTTTATACTATTTCAAGTCATCAATTATTAAAAACACTTAAGTTTTTAATTTAAAAAATATGAGCCTAACATATACATAGGATGTTTTGGGAAGATAGTTGAAAACTGACTTTTTTAACTTTATGTTTTTTTATTTTGTGAGAGATAAAGTGAATTAAAAGTTAAAAAATTACTTTTAACACACTTTCTAAAATGAACTATACACAGGAACAGACCCACTTACATTTCTGTCACACATGAGTGAGTGTCGGAACCCCCACATACATAAATAAAAAATTTGTGTCACGAAGGTATCAATAATATGATAACACTGAATAATAAATTTATCCCAGTTTTCAAATTTAACTACCTTGCTACATGAAAAGGTAAATACTACAAATTGTTAGATAATGAACGGTTGTATTGAATGTTCTATTGCCATGGACAAGTATTAGTTTAATGTATAAAAAAAAGAAAGAAGGACTCGTTGCATCGTGGAACTGAGCCACACAACATAGAGAAAGGTTTTGAAGACAAAACAACTTTAATTTTACGTTCAATTGATTTAGTTGGCCTGGTCGGCAATCAATTTGGCCTACTGACGTGGTCGCTTGGAAGTGGTCAATCATATCAGATTTGTTTACTACAATTTTATTTTATTATTATTATTTTTTTACCATAAATTACAAATACACCCTTGAAATTTTATTAAAATACGAATCGTCCCTGTAGTTTTCAAAATTACATTCCAGCTCTGAAGTTTCTAATTTCATAACAAATTGTCTTTCTATTAATAAATCATTAAGTCAATTAACAGTTTTTAATGATATTAAAAATATGTTTCAATTAATAATTTAAGTAATTTTATTATTGTATAAGAGAGCAATTATAAATTTTATTTTTTCAGTTATATCTGTTAAATAAAAAATTCTAATAAGGCGGTATTTGTAATTTTTCAAACCACATGGGCTAATCTATATTTTAAGAAAACTTCGGGAGGTGTATTTGTAATTTACCATTTTTTTTATAATGAGGTGTCTGAGTGAATTTAAGTGCACCTCGACTAATCTCAAGAAACTAATTTCATCGTGTACTTGCGAGGATTCCATTTAAAACCAGGGCAAATGCCGTGTATTGAAATGGCTCCAAAGAGTTTATTGTCATTAATCAATATTGAATCTGAGACTTGGAGGGAGTACACCCCAAGCCTCAAGTTTTGTTTACTACAATTTTTTACAAGTTAAAAATTAATAATTAAAAATTAAAAATATTTTATTATTTATTTTTTAATAATTATTTATTTATAATTTATTTAAATTATATTTTTTTCTTCTTAAATGTACCAAACACTCTTGATACTCAACACATTTGAGACAAAAATAAATAATAATAATTGGGAAGATACTCAATACGTAAGAAAACAAGAACATGTTTACAAAAGGGATAACAACAATGAAAAGGACAAATATTGATATAACATATAAATAAATACATATATCAAAGACAATAATCATCAGTATGAAACAAACAAGATAAAAGGAAAAATAATGATTATGTTTGTGAACACATAATTACAAGAAGTCACGCGCAGTAGGTTTAAAAAAATGTAAATTTGTTATTCGTGTGTATAAAACTTATTGCTAAATAACCAAGTAATTAAAATTGAAAATCTACCCTTTTTTTTTCTTTTTTTTTTTTTAGCCTGACCCTTCTGTTAAGCAGAATCAACTTAAATAAATAATAGATTAGCTCAAACTTGGCCAAGCCTAATAATAAATTTGCGAACAAAGAAAACAGTAATATTAAGGGCATAGAATTAAAACACAGAGAGAGCATAAAAAATGTATTATGTTGTACAGCTAACATGATCATTGAACGATGGAACTAAAAAAGAAAACACCCAACTTGTTTGTAGGTGACTCTCAGACTGCAACCCATCTTCAAGCGATCTATCACCTTCTTAGAGAAGGATGATTCAGACTTGGGAGATCAAGTGGGTAGCCTCGGCAATCAACATGAGTTTGCAGACATGACATGGTATCCAAGCCAGAGAAAGGTGATCTACCGGATTGATGACCGAGTCTCCTCGAATGTCTCCGGCAATGGCCTCAATAATTTCACCCCATTCCGCTCCACTCTTTCAGCTGTAGTGGCAGCATTAAGAACTGCAGGTTTTTTTTTTTTGATGGTTAAAAAAAAAAATTAAAAAAATAATGATCTCAATTTTGTTCTCTCTCTCTCTCTCATATATATATATGGATACGGTTTGTTGTTACACAGAGGAGGTACAAGAGTTGAGAGGAGACGCTAATGGGAAGTGTATAGATGGAAAACTTGCCACATCAACTCTGAAGCTCACTGCCTATGGCTACACCAACAATGGTAATTGATTCATCTCTCAATCCTATGTTTCATACTATGCCATGCACAAGAAAAGATGAAGCAATAATAAATAGGAAAATGCCCCCACCACCCTACTATTTTTTGATTGGTTCATAATTTTTTTTTTTCTTTTCCACTTGCTACCCCCACGTGGAGGTGGGGGTGCTAGAGTCACCCCACTGGAGTCCTAGCACGGTTGTAATAAATAATAATTAAAAAAAAAATTGCATTAAGGAACTTGAAAAATACAAAAACAAATTGGAAGATTAAATTCCATATGATTAAACTAGCATAGCCAGAAATTATGAGTCATTCCACAAGATATTATCAATGCAGTTCTACCCAACCTATAAAAATCAACTTCTACATGATACAATGTAATTTATATATGCCCAATTAAATTGACAAAAATAATTTAGTAGTTGTTTGGCATGTGCTAAAATAACACATCCACATCATCTTATTTTAGTTACAATTATCTTATTTGGATCATATCACTTCTTATTTAAGTCACATCAATATCACTTTAAATTCAACTCATATTTCACATTTTTTTTATAAAAATTCAAAAAATATACTAATTTAATACTTTCCAAACAACCCTTTAATATTATCATTTCAACAAATATCAAGCAAATATTTGTACTTCTTTACGATTGTCTATGGCAAGCTTTATTTTTTGAAATTACTATATGATAACCTTAGATTTATGTTACCTAACACAATTTTATCATATATAAAATCAATCAATCATTTATCAAACCATCACTTATTCAGCTATACAATCAATTTTTTATGAATTTTATTAAAGAAAATTACAACTGTGACCAGTAGAATGTGGTGGGGATTCAGCTTTCTTTATGTTTGATATGCAGTAGAATGATGGATATGATGGGCTTGCTTTCACATTTTACGTTACTTTAAAAGACAACATGGGTTAATTGGTTAATTGGCTCTCATACCACGTTCACTAACTAAGCGCGCACACAGCTGTATCGCCCTTCGCATCTCCTTTTTGACTTTGCAAACCATGGTGTGTCACCCGGTTACTAGGTTTTTCACCTCTGTTTTATCAGAAAATATTATACGACTTGACTTTATAAAATCTATCCAGATTTCCTTTATCATTCTTTTTGACTTTGGAAACCATTGCGTGTCACCCTGTAACACCATCTCCAACGGTTCACCAAAACTGATATCAAATTCAAATTTTAATGAAAAAGTTGCTGTTCACTGCTCCAACGGTTGCACCAAATGAATATCAGATTGAGATTTCATCAAAAAATTTATCAAACTGACGACGAAATACTGATTTCACCAAAACACTGTTGGTGACCGTTGGAGGGAGACCAACCGGTCAACCAGCCGGTTGCCCGGCCGGTTGACCAACCGGTCGACCAGTGAAAGATTCAAACAGTTCAAGGAAAAAAGTTCAAACCGTAAAAAAAATAATAATAATAATAATAATTTGCCTAACTGGTCAACCGGCCGGTCGACCACCCGGTCGTCCTGAAAAAAGTTCAAAAAGTTCAAAAAAAAGTTCAGAAAAAAAAAAAAAAAATTTTTTGCCTAACCGGTCAACCGGCCGGTCGACCACCCGGTTGTCCCGGGATAGATTTGGTGAAAGGTGAACCGTTGGAGTTAGTGGTATCAAATTTGGTGAAATTTGTCATTTTTCACTCAGATTTGGTGAAAAATTTGAGTCATCGTTGGAGATGCTCTTACTAGGTTTTTCAACTCTGTTTTATCAGAAAATATTATACGACTTGACTTTATAAAATCTATTTATATTTCCTTTATCATACTATAACTTGGTGACATGAAAATGAATTTATCCTTAAATCATTTTTTTTTCTTCATAATTTAATAAATTTAGCTTTTATTTTTTGTCTCGTATTAATTTTATAAACAACAATTCTGCAACAGTGTCAAAATCTCCTACTCCTGGCCCAAAAAAGAGTTCAAACTCACGATAAACCTCCTGATTGATAAGATTTAGGTCCTGCTTGGGAAGATGGTTTTGGCTATTTTAGTCACAAAAGATAAAATAAGTTATTTTAGTCACAACAAACAAAACATCACATCTAACTCATAATAATTACACTCTTTTCTCACAAAAAAATCAAAAATTAAAAAAGTCCTTCCCAAACCAAGCTCTTTAGCCCATACTAAAATAACCAAAAAAGCCAACCTACTTCCCAAATGACACCTTAGTTGAACATTTCTTTTTTTTTTTTTGGTAAATTATGCAAATGGTCCCTATAGTTTATATGATGTGTCAATTTGATCCATATTATTTCAATTTTCTCAATTTTATCCCTTGATTTAACTGATTGTGTCATATTAGTCTAATAAATAACTGCAATTAGATTTGATGGACAGAAAGTCAAACGATATATCAATTTGGTCCCTATAGTTTACACGATGTGTCAATTTAATCGCTGTCAAAATCGTGCAAATTAAAATAACAAGGACCAAATTGACACATCGTTTGACTTCCAATCCACCAAGCCTAATAGCCATTATGTATTTGACTAAAACAGCACAATCTGTTAAATTAACAAGCAAAATCGAACAAATTGAAACAACTGAGACCAAATTGACACATCGTATAAACTACAGGGACCATTTGCATAATTGATCCCTTTTTTTTGGGTTCCTTTTTTCCTCACTCTAAAATGTTGTCATCGGTATTCGTTATTGTTTGTCGAGGATATGAATGAGTAAAACTATCCCATATCTAATTAATTTAAACTTCTAAATGTAACAAATACTTTTTTACGGACGAAAATCAATTTGTTATATTAGCTCTTGTAGGATTGAACTCACAATCTCTCCCTAGCAAACACCCAAGTGCTTCCTCCATTTTATTAGGTAACAAGGCCATGGATTAATGTCACAATTTATAATATAGGATCAAAGCACATTAGGTGTTATCATTACTAATTTTAACGGACAATATCCAATTAGACTATATGAAGTGAAATAAAAAAATTTAAGGACTAAATAGATGAAAATAGTTTAGAAATATATATATATATATATTTTTTTAAGAGAGAATGTAACAAGGCCATGGATTAATGTCACAATTTATAATATAGGATCAAAGCACATTAGGTGTTATCATTACTAATTTTAACGGACAATATCCAATTAGACTATATGAAGTGAAATAAAAAAATTTAAGGACTAAATAGATGAAAATAATTTAGAAATATATATATATTTTTTTTAAGAGAGAATAATTTAGAGGATAAAAATCAATATTAACCCATCATATTTTTAACAGGTATTATATTTACGGGATACCCAGTAGTTGGGTATCACAACCACCTCCAATCCTCGGGAACTTGCCTTGATAGCCATGAGAATGGAAAGATCACAATGTGCCCATGGGACCATAGGGTTAAGGGACTCTTCTTCCACCAAACCGCATTCAGTATTAGCTTATCCAATGTCAAGAGCTTTATTCAAGATGTGCAAAAACTAGTTGATTTAGAGCCTAAAGCATTGTGTGTCCTGGACTTGTACAATGGAATCCTCATGAGGTATGTCAAGGCCTCAAGTGCTTTCTTGGGCAAGCAAGAAGATGGTGTAGACTTTGATATCACTTATTACCGGAGCAAAGACCCAATGACCCCTAGGCTTTATGAAGACATACTTGAGGAGGTGGAGCAGCTTGGCTTGTTCAAATATGGAGGGTTCCCCCATTGGGGCAAGAATCGAAATGTGGCGTTTGATGGTGCAATCAAGAAATACAAAAATGTTGGAGAGTTCTTGAAGGTGAAGGCAAGGTATGATCCATTAGGGATTTTCTCTAGCAATTGGACAGACCAATTACTTGGATTGAAAAATGGAGTGACAATGGTCCAGGAGGGTTGTGCTCTAGAAGGGTTGTGTGTATGCTCTCAAGATGTTCATTGTGCCCCAAGTAAAGGCTACTATTGTCGACCGGGAAGAGTTTACAAGGACGCAAGAGTTTGCACCAAGTTAAGTTAAGGAATTTGATAATGTTCATTCAAGGATTAACTCAAATTCAAATTTAAATAATATTCATTTACATATGAATGTCAAGATTGAATTTGAGAGGATTGTCATAGATTTGAAACCACAATTATATATGAAATACTTATTTGAAATTATTCAAATTAAGGATTATAATTCTATATGAATCTTAATAAAATAGTTTTGTTTCAATCCTTATTTCAGTTTCTTAATCTCATATTTAAATTGTCAAAATGGTTCAAACTTATCTAACTTTGTATTAAAATGTTCCACAACGTTATTTTTGTCCAGATTTTATAATGGAAGGGATATTTTTGTTCAAACTTGCACTAAACCATGTAAAATATCAACTTTCAAAATAAAACAAAGTACATATATATCAGTTTAATCTTTTAGATGAATTAGTGATTAACAATTTAATATAATATTAAAGTAAATAATAGATAGATGTTTACATGCGTTTGACCAATTATGAAATAAAAAATTAAAAAATAATAATAATAACAATCTGGCAACACGTAAGGCTCATTCTGAGGGTCAACAATTCAAGAAAACTAAGGTCTCGTTTGAGAAGTAGCTATTTTAGAGGTTTTTTGATTTTTTGGTTATTTTAGTATGCTATTTTAGTTTTTGTGTTTGAGAAGATGAGATGGATTTTTATTTGAGTTGTTGTATTGAAAAATGTGTTGAAATGATATTTGAAGTTAAAATGACAAATTTGTCCCTAAGATTATAATTTTTTAAATTGATATAAAGGGATGAAATTGTAATTTTCCAATTGATTTTACAATCTGTCAACTAACAGTGTAGGCTGTGCCTACACTGTCCCCAGCTGCAGTCTTTTTTTTTATTGAATTTTGCACCTCCGCCTACTGTTTATGCTTTTTGGCTTATATCCTAAATGAGGCTATAATAGCCTTAACCTGTGTTTCCCAACAGCGCCTAATTGATTGCGCCAAAGCTTAATAAAAAAATCATAAATGAAATTAAGTGAATGACCTTGTCTTAGTATGAAGTAATGTTAGGACCCTAAATATTTTATTAATTGTTTTATCAAATATTTTACATGGGTGTGAGATTCAAATGAGACCTACATGGTATAAGTCTCACACCCATGTGAGACATTTGGTAAAACATTTAATAAAATATTTGACATCCCTAGCATTATTCCTAAGTGTGGTAGAGGAGGAAGAGAGGGAATTCTATTTACACCCAAAAAAATGTTTAAGTGGGCCTAATTTTTTAATATAACTTATTAAATTATTTAGGATTACAATTTATTCTCAGTACACCCTATTTTTCTCCCAAATTACCCTTTTGAGGTACACTCAAATTAAACAAATTAAAAAATTCAAATTACTTTTGAAAAATCCTTTGAATTTTTTATTTTTTTTGGGGGGTTGGGGGATTCACGTACATACAAGGAATATGATTAGGGAACCTGACACCGGTGAAAGTGACACCGGCGAAGAAGGATGGTGAAGGAGAAGGAGAGGGTGAACTTCACGTTCGGACGTCTAGAACCGTACAAATTCATTTTGTCCGATTTTGAAAGTTCGAATAATAATGAAGGAAAACAAGATCAATATTCACTTTTATGTAAAAAAATAAAAAATAAAAGACACATAAATCAAAAATTATACTTTGATATTTATGTCAATACTTACATCATCTTTGATGAATTGTCTCAAAAAATTGTTTTGATTATTACTCTTATTCATTGTTTGATTTTGTTCAAACTTTTTTCTATTTGCAAGTAATAATATAATAAAAACAATGATGTTGATGATAATGGTGAATTGAAATTTAGGGAAAAAAATGAAGAGATTTGAATATGAAAAATACGTATAATTGATTAGGTATACCATGAGAAAAAATAATATTTTATTTTAAAATTTAATATGTATTGTTTTTATTAGTAAATTTACATTACAATATAATAGGAATTTAAAATTTAAAATTTGAGTTGGGTATTCTGGAATAAATTTTGGAGTCTAAGTAGAATAGCCCGAGGAAGAGCGATATGTATCTAGGGGATTCTATTTACACTCAAAAAATCATTAAGTACTCCTAATTTTTAAGTACACCTTGTTTAATTATTTAAATTTTTATTTTACTCTTATTACACCCTATTATTTTCCCCAAATTACCCTCAAAGCATGTTTGTTTGGTGGGATTGAAGGATGGGATTGGACTAATAGTCCGTTGTTTGTTTCAAATTTTTTACACCGGACTATTAATTCCAAATATGTTGGACTATTGTATCCCATGAGGGGGGTGAAACACAAATCATGGGATTACTCATCCCATGTGATTAGGTTGCCAAATTACATTGTTGACGCTCTAACATTAAATATTATTTTCCTCATGGTATTAATTATACTTAATAAAGTAGTCTCAATTTAAAAATAAAATAATTTTATTTAATTTTTGTTGATGCTTTATTTATTTAAAATTTTAAAATAATTTTTTATAGATATATTATCGATGTTTTATTTTAAAATTTTGTTGATATTTTATTTAATTTCATTATTTAAATTTTAATAGATGTTTTATTTAATTTCATTATTTAAGTATTATTATTTTTTTAAATAAATTTATTTAAAATTTTAATTAAAAAATAAGTGCAAGTCCAATAGTGTTAATAATTGAACAAGCACATATGATGAAATTATCGATTTACTTGATAATTTTCTCGACAATTTTTTTTATTTTTGAGTAAGTCTTGGTTTGGTATCTATATGTTTTAGTTAAAATGTTAAAAAATTATTATAGGTTATCATATCATTCTTTCTATTTTTTCACATATATTTTTATAAAAAATTAAAAAAATTACTAAAATAACTTATTTGCTAACGAGACTTGAGTATGAACAAAAGCTTCGTATTCAATAAATTATAAATTATTTTATAACTTTCTTTTTAAAATTATCAATAAGGGTTGGCTTGAGAATATGTTATTTTAGTATTTTTTAGCTTTTAACTAAAATATGAGGTGAAAAAAATTAGTAGTATATTTGGAATATTTTTTTGATTTTTATAGAAAAAAAACGTACAAAAAACAGAGAGAAAATAATTTTTTTGATTTTTTTGGTATATTTTTAAATTTTTTAATTTTTTTAATAAGTTTTTAATTTTTTGTCTGGAAATGACTTCCCATCCATATTCCTTTATACTTCATTTTTTGGGCTTCATTCTAGGTCTACAATGATAATTTAAATTGTTCATTTCGTAATCCCAACAATTTAGATGAGTTATGAAAAAAATTAATTTAATCAAATATCATTAAATATATGAAAAAAATTGCATCTTATTTTTAAAATGAACAGTAATTGTGACTTTAAACTTAAACCTTTCATTATATAAAATAAAAAATGATTTGTTTATGTATTTATTGATATCCGATGAAACTAATTTTTTGCACAGATGGTCTTCATTGGCCTCGTTTAGAAAATTGACTATTTTAATAGAATATTTTAGTTTTTGACTATTTTAGAGGGAATTTTATTTGCACCCAAAAAATTATGAAGTACGCTAAATTTCTCAATACATCCTATTAAATTATTTAGGGTTATAATTTATTTTTAGTACACTTTATTTTTCCCCCCTCAAATTACTCTTGTGAGGCACACCCAAATAAAATAAATTAAAAAATTTAAATTATTTTGGAAAAACTTTTCTTTTATTCATGTATATATATGGAATCTGATCAGGAAACCCAACACCAGTGAAAGCGACACTGGTTAAGGTGGACAGTGAAGGAGAACAGCATAGGAGGATGACGAATATTCAGCATGTTTCTCATCATTATTGTTTGGACTTTTAGAACCGAACAAAGTGAATTTGTTCGGACTTTCAGAACTGATCAAATTCACTTTGTTTGGCTGTACATTGCCGAAGAAAGTAAAATTGTTTGGTTCTGAAAGTCCAAACAATAATAATGAAAAACAGCCTAAATATTCGCTTTTATGTATAAAAAAAAAAAAAAAAATCAATAATTGTATTTTGATATTTATGTAAATACTTACTTCCTCTTTGATGGGTTGTTTCAAAAAATTATTTTGATTATTACTCTTATCCATTATTTGATTTTGTTCAACATTTCTTCTATTTACAATTAACAATATAATAAAAAACAATGATATTGATGATAATGGTGAGTTTTGATGAGATGGATAGGAGTTTTGGAGTGAGAAAGAAGAAGAAGAGAAAACAATTGAAACTTGAGAAAGGAGATGAAGAGATTTGAATAGGAAAAATATGTATAATTGATTAGGTATACCATGAGAAAAAATAATATTTTATTTTAAAATTTAATATGTATTGTTTTTATTAGTAAATTTACATTACAATATAATAGGAATTTAAAATTTAAAATTTGAGTTGGGTATTCTGGAATAAATTTTGGAGTCTAAGTAAAATAGCCCGAGGAAGAGCGATATGTATCTGGGGGATTCTATTTACACTTAAAAAATCATTAAGTACTCCTAATTTTTAAGTACACCTTGTTTAATTATTTAAATTTTTATTTTACTCTTATTACACCCTATTATTTTTCCCAAATTACCCTCAAAGCATGTTTGTTTGGTGGGATTGAAGGATGGGATTGGACTAATAGTCCGTTGTTTGTTTCAAATTTTTTACACTGGACTATTAATTCCAAATATGTTGGACTATTGTATCCCATGAGGGTGGTGAAACACAAATCATGGGATTACTCATCCCATGTGATTAGGTTGCCCTCTAACTTTAAATATTGTTTTCCTCATGGTATTAATTATACTTAATAAAGTAGTCTCAATTTAAAAATAAAATAATTTTATTTAATTTTTTTTGATGCTTTATTTATTTAAAATTTTAAAATAATTTTTTATAGATATATTATCGATGTTTTATTTTAAAATTTTGTTGATATTTTATTTAATTTCATTATTTAAATTTTAATAGATGTTTTATTTAATTTCATTATTTACTTATTATTATTTTTTTAAATAAATTTATTTAAAATTTTAATTTAAAAAATAGCATATATTTGTATTGATATTTTATTTATTTAATTTTTTTTAAAAATATTTAATTGTTTAAAAAATAATTAAAATATTAAAGATATGTTTAATATTGTTATTACTTAGTAAATAATTAAAGAGGGTAAAATAGTTATTTGAGCACTTATCTTTTTTTATAATATCCCAA